TTGGAGGTCGAACGACCCTTTCACAGGGTCGCCTAAGACCATCGGAAAACACATATATAATTACATATTGTTTTGTGATTAATCGCTATGCTTTGATTATGTTCAATTTGTAACAATGAAATTGGGGGTCACCACAACATGAGGAACCGTATTAAAGGGTCGCGGCATTAGGAAGGTTGAGAACCACTGGATTAGAGGCTGCCACAAGACTGCCTATTCACCGTGTGGCTCACCTTCCTGCCGTAGCCTCGGGGATGGGGCCGCCCAGGTGGAGCAGACCCTCCCTCGGAGCCTGCCCGGGTGCGGGTGCGGGTGCGAGGTGTTAGTCCTGGCCTGGGGCCTGGGAAAGGAGCGGGGCAGTGTGTGTGTGTGTGTGTGTGTGTGTGTGTGTGTGTGTGTGTCTCTGTGTGTGTGTGTGTGTGTGTCTGTGTGTGTGTGTCTGTGTGTGTCTCTCTGTGTGTGTGTGTCTGTGTGTGTGTCTGTGTGTGTGTGTGTCTGTGTGTGTGTCTGTGTGTGTGTCTGTGTGTGTGTGTCTGTGTGTGTGTGTCTGTGTGTGTCTGTGTGTGTGTCTGTGTGTGTGTCTCTCTGTGTGTGTGTGTGTGTGTCTGTGTGTGTGTGTCTGTGTGTGTGTCTCTCTGTGTGTGTGTGTGTATCTGTGTGTGTGTCTGTGTGTGTGTCTGTGTGTGTGTGTCTCTGTGTGTGTGTCTCTGTGTGTGTCTCTGTGTGTGTGTGTCTGTGTGTGTGTCTGTGTGTGTGTCTGTGTGTGTGTGTCTGTGTGTGTGTGTGTGTCTGTGTGTGTGTGTCTGTGTGTGTGTCTGTGTGTGTGTCTGTGTGTGTCTGTGTGTGTCTGTGTGTGTTGTCTGTGTGTGTGTGTGTCTGTGTGTGTCTGTGTCTGTGTGTGTCTGTGTGTGTGTCTGTGTGTGTTGTGTCTGTGTGTGTGTCTGTGTGTGTCTGTGTGTGTGTGTGTCTGTGTGTGTCTGTGTGTGTGTCTGTGTGTGTGTGTGTCTGTGTGTGTGTCTGTGTGTGTGTGTCTGTGTGTGTGTGTCTGTGTGTGTGTGTCTGTGTGTGTGTCTCTGTGTGTGTGTGTGTCTGTGTGTGTGTCTGTGTGTGTGTCTGTGTGTGTGTGTCTCTGTGTGTGTGTGTCTGTGTGTGTGTCTGTGTGTGTCTGTGTGTGTGTGTCTGTGTGTGTGTGTGTGACGGCTCCAGCGGCAGGCTCATTTCCTCTCGGGGTGTGTAGGGGTGGGCCCCTGGGGTGGCTCTGCGGGAGGGGTGGCCCAGGCCGACAGGCAAGCGGGGCCCCGGGTCAGTGCCAGGCTCTACTGCTGCCCAACCTCGAGTCCAGGAGGACGACTGTCTGAGGCCCAGCTGGGACCTCCTGCCCCACGAGGGCCCGAGAGGCCAAGGGCCGGCGCACGAGGTGTCGGGGGTCTTGGCGACGCTGCTTTCAGTAGGAGCAGCGGTGGGGCCCCTGTTCTCTCTGCTCCGCCGCCTTCGCCCTTCTGTGAGCACATTCCCTCCTGGAGGGTCTCGCGGGCGGGATGTGTGGGGCCCCGGCCCACCTGCCCTCAGCACACACCCTGCCAGCCCCGCCGACCACCCGCGGAGGGCGCTGCGAGCCCGGGAAGGGCCAGGCGATGGAGGCGCAGCTCCCGGCGCGCCGTCAGCGACTCCTGGGAGGGCAAAGGCCCCCAAGTGCACCGACTCCGGCGGCTTCTGGGCCCGGCCTCGGGCTTCGTGCTCGCGGGGCCGCCAGGTGGCGCCCTGGTCCCACGGCGCACGTTGGTATCCAGGTGGGCTGGGCGGAGGGCAGACCTGCCCCCTTCACCGCTGTATGACGTCCGTGCCCCCCTCCCGGGCTGGAAGCAGGTGCCCCGTCCAGGTCTCTGTCCTTTCGGGCTGCTCGACCCTTGGACACTGGTCTCACCCTCCAGGCACACAGCTGAGATGATGGGGGGACGGACCGTGGCTCCCATTCCAGATAGTCAGGGCCTGGGGTGCCCCACGTGGGGGGCGGGGCTCCTGTCCACCTCTTGGCTCTCCCCAGGGTCTGGGACGGCAACCAGACAGTGACTTTGGGCCGCCGGTCCCCATGGCTGGGACTTCGCCCCCCTGGCCCTTGACTGAGCTTCGCCTCCTGCTCACTGTCCTGCCCCCAGACCCGGATCCTCTCTCCTCTACCCGGGGATCTCCGGGGCGTTGATGGCAGCTGAGGCTCCTCATTTCGCTCATGTCTGCTGAGTTTTGAAAGGAGCCTGATCCAGCCAGGACACCATCGTAGCTTAATCAAGAGAAGCTGTGTTATTTTCAAATGTGTTGCATTTGAAAGGTTCTTTAGTAAACACACAGAGGCTGCTCTGTGTCAGACACTCGGCATGTCGCCACCGCCCTGACAACAGGGCGGCTCTTGTTGCTTAATTCCATTTTTATTTTTTTTTATTTTTTATTTTTTTAATATATTTTATTGATTTTTTACAGAGAGGAAGAGAGAGATATATAGAGTTAGAAACATCAATGAGAGAGAAACATCGATCAGCTGCCTCTTGCACATCCCCCAATGGGGAAGTGCCCGCAACCCAGGTACATGCCCTTGACCGGGATCGAACCTGGGACCTTTCAGTCCGCAGGCCAACGCTCTATCCACTGAGCCAAACCGGTTTCGGCAATTCCATTTTTAAAAAATAATTTTTATTTATTTCAGAGAGGAAAGGAGAGATAGAAACATCAATGATGAGAGAGAATCATTGATCAGCTGCCCCGCAACCCCCCCCCCCCAATCCCGCAACACACACACACACACACACACACACACACACACACACTCCATGGAGACGGAGCCCGCAACTCGGGCATGTGCCGTGTCTGCATTAATTTCCTTAATGACTAATGACAGCAAAATCCTTTCATGGGCTCATTGGCCATTTGAGCACCTTCCTTTTTGAAATGTTTTTAGTCTTGGGAAATGTTCGTTGTTTGCTTAAAAAGTGTGTGTCCTGCAGTTCGGGGGGGAAATGTTCTGTAAATGATTCCCTTTTCTCCAAGCTGTGTGGCTGAGCCCGTCCTCAGGTCTCTCTCTCTCTCTCTCTCTCTCTCTCTCTCTCTCTCTCTCTCTCTCTCTCTTTCCTCCTCCCTAAGAGAAAGCATATGTGTTCTGCAGAACTCAGCCCCTGGAGCTAGGTTTCAGAGACACCCTCCACAACCCAGCCCGTGGCGAGTCACAAAGGGCCCAAGCGAGGAGGGAGCTCCCAGCTGAGCCCCCACGGGGTCCCTTAGGATGGAGTCCCGCTCACCTCGCGCCCAGGCCCGCCCGCTCACCTCCCATCCTCTCTTTCTTCCCCGTCCCTCCTCACCTAGTGCCCCCCAGCCTCTGAGTCTGGCTCAGCTTTGCCCGAGGACAAGCTCAGTGACACAGAAGACAAGGCTGGTCAGTTGTCTGCGCTCCTGGGTTTGGGCTCCTGCCGTTATTGGGGTGTGATGGGTCACTGGGGTGGTAACAGATGGCAAGGAGGGGGTGGCTGTTCCTGAGGGTTCTGCACAGCCTCACGGGGACGTGACTGTGCCCTTCCGGCCAAGAGGGGCTCGTCTACGCCTCTGTTCATTGGTGTTGACAGCACCGATGATCTAAGTGTATCCTCACATAAAACCACCGCCAGCAGCCCGGGCCTTCACCAGTGTCCGTGAGCGGCTCCTATTCCAGGCTATGTCCAGGGATCGCCAGGTCCCCAGGCTGTGTGTCCAGGGAATCTCCTGAGTCACGAATGTGACAGATGGCCCGGTGATGACTGAGGAGCATGCTGGTAGGTCTGCCTCCTAACTTTCTCCACTCGTTCTTTCTTTTTTTAATCCTCACCCGAGGATATTTTTTCCATTGATCCTTAGAGAGAGAGTGAAAGGGGGGGAGGAGTGGGAGAGAGAGAGAGAGAGAGAGAGAGAGAGAGAGAGAGAGAAAGAAACATGGACTAGTTGGCTCTCACATGTGCCCTGTCCAGGATAGGGGATCAAACCTGCAACCGAGGTATGTGCCCTTGACTGGGAATGGAACCTGCCACCTTTCGGGCTGTGGGCCGGTGCTCTAACCACTGAGCAACCGGCCAGGGCCACTTGTTTTTTCTAAACTTTCAACTGTGAGGTCAGCTCTGGAAATGTCCTCCGAGGAATCTGTTGGGCACAGAAGGTCCCTGGCGGCTGCTCTCAGAGCCTTTTCTCTGAGTAACTCCCTGGAGAGTCCCCAGGGCAGGCAAAGCCGTGCGCCTTCCCTGCCCTTTGTCAACCTGATGGAGGGTCACACAAAACAGAACCCAAACCAACAAGCAGCTAACCCTGGAGAGACGACGGGAGACCAGAGGGAGCCACAGCTGGACTCCAGCCCCAGGCCAGAGCTTCCGCATCTTCAGAGCGGACCCAGGACCACAGCTGGGTCTGGGCCAGTGAGAGCACAGGCTCTGGGGTTTGGGTGACCACGTGAGGGTGGTCGCTGCTGGAGCCTGGGTCCCTGTCGGGAGATGAGAGGGGCCAGGTCCTGTGGCGCCCGGCCTCCGCTGGGCGCCCTGCCTCCTGCCCGTCCAGCGGGGACGGAATCCTGACCTCCGGGCCGCATGGCCTCAGGGACGCGTGCTCTGCAAACCTGAGCTTTCCCACCTGTGCACATGGGGGATTCTGGAAAAGCAGAGCCTTATATGACCTCCCATCGGCCATGATCGTGGGGCTGAGATCTATGGGCATGTTTTGACCGAAGGGGAAATAAAATTTGCAGCCTCGGAGTCAGAAAGCCTGGTGGGGTGGCTGAGTTTCTTTCTACGGCTGTTGCAAGTTGACAACATGTTGGTCGGCTTTTAAGATGTGTGGATTTTAAAGACAGAGGAAATTTTGCACAAACCCTTGTTCCAATTATTGTAGGTTTTATTGGGCACCTTCTATGTGCTTCAAAGGCAAAACCAATGGCAGCCGAGCGGAGCAGGGCGCGCCCGTGAAGCTTGGTTGTGTGCCGTGGCTCTGCGGCGGTGCCCACACACAGCCCCTCACGGGGGTCCCTTCTCGGGGGAACTCACGTGACTGGCTGTGTGCCTCCGTTCCACGCAGGACTCAGGCTGCCGTCTTGTCTCCGGAGGCCCGCGGGGCGGCCTCCAGGGGAGCCTGCAGCGCCCTGTGCCTCAACTCCAGCTTCTGAGCCCATTCTCCACGGAGCCTGGGATGCGGAATTTCACTGTGAGTCACCTTCCCAGGACCCTGACAGCCAGGCTTCGTCTGTCGACACAGCACCTGGGCTGTGTCCCCACCCAGCCGGCAGCTGTGACCGTGTGAGGTCGCAGAGAACCCTGCAACCTCGGGCGGCCACTTCAAGGTCAGGGCCATGCCTGTCACGGAGGGTCTGTCTCGGACCCTAGGCCCAGAGGGAAAGCACTTTGCCCCAGGAAGTAGCTTCTGGAAACTTCCGAGTCCCAGAGAGGCTGAGCCACATCCTGGACTCTCTGCTTGGTGAGGCCTGGTTCATGGCGGATGAGGATGGGCCTGCTCCCACCCGCCTCCCTCCCCAGCGCCCTCGCATTGCACCCACCTGTCCCAGCCCGGCCACCTCCGGAGGCACACACTGTGGCCACCACAGCACAGAGCACAGGGTGACCCGGCTGCGGGGACGTCCAGGTTCAGGGGGCCAGGCTCCCCCAGCCCTGGGTGTCGGCCCACAGACAATGACCACCTGGTGCCTTCGCCCGAGGTAGGGTGTGGTTTGGCTTTAGTGGGTGGAGAGATGGGCGCTTGGCTCCTGCTGAACTCTGGGGAAAGGGCATGCACTCAGACCCTTGTCCCGGCACCCAAGGGCCTCAATGAGGAAGGCACCTCCGAGCAGCAGGTGGTTAGACCAGGACAGCAGTGCCCATGTGTGACGGGCCCGCAAGTGATGGCCCCACACACGACTGTCACGCTCCTGCCCCTGCACCAGGCCCTGGCTGCTGACTGGCTCCTGGGAGCCGCTGGGTGCCTGTGAGGACGTCTCAGGGGCTGCTGTGGTCCAGGGGACAGGGCGTGTCCTGGCTGCGGTCTGTGGTCCTGATAACTAGCCACATCTTTCCCAAGAGGCACAGACGTCCCGCCCACAGTCCCATCCCCATTAGCCCAGGACCTTGGTGACATACCGGCTGGTGCTGATGCACCCTCACTGTTGGACCCAGCGCCCACTCCTGGGCCTGCACCCTTGGGCAGAAGACCCAAAGTTTCCAGGGCCTGATGGCAGAAGAGGCCGGGGACAAGGCCCTGAGACCTGCAGCTGGGAGGAGCGTCAGGGTGAGGACCCTCTGAGAGCTGGGGTGGGGGCCACGCCATGTGGAGGGGAGGCACCACGGCCCCCACCTATGCCTAACCAGGGCAGATGTCCTGAGTGGCAGAGCCCACCCCACAGCCAGGGGACCACAGGCGGGGGAGGGTGGGCCAGTGCAGCAGCCAGACCTCTGGCAGCTGGAAGGTCAGTCCAGCTCTGTCCCGGCGCCACCAGGATCCTCCTTCCCAACCTGCTCCAAGGGCAGCACTGGTGCTATTTGAGGAAGAGGCTGTGGCCACTTTGGTATCCTGGCCATTGGAGGCCTGGTCTAGGTGTGAATTATGTGCTAATCTGCCCTCTTAGCTGTCCCTGCGATCAGACACCCTGGCTCTGCCTGTGAGGCCCCCCTCAGCAGCAAGGTCGCGGGACTTGGCTGCAGAAAGAGAGGGATTGCTTTGGATCTACAGTCCTGCAAATGTGTGGGAAGGAGTAGAACGAACACACTCAGGGGGAGCAATTGTAAGAATATCAGATAAAGCAGGACATGCCTCCATAACAAGTTCCACACATGCTCAGGAGTGTGAGAATATAAGGGATGGGGTGATGGAGTGTGAGAGTATAAGGGATGGGGTGATGAAGTGTGGAATAAAAGGATGGGGTGCTGGAGTGTGGGGGATGGAGGGATGGGTGATGGAGTGTGGGATGGAGGGATGGGGTGATGGAGTGTGGAGGATGGAGGGATGGGGTGATGGAGTGTGAGAGTATAAGGGATGGGGTGATGAAGTGTGGAATAAAAGGATGGGGTGCTGGAGTGTGGGGGATGGAGGGATGGGTGATGGAGTGTGGGATGGAGGGATGGGGTGATGGAGTGTGGAGGATGGAGGGATGGGGTGATGGAGTGTGGGATGGAGGGATGGGGTGATGGAGTGTGGGATGGAGGGATGGGTGATGGAGTGGGGGATGGAGGGATGGTGATGGAGTGTGGGATGGAGGGATGGGGTGATGGAGTGTGGGATGGAGGGATGGGGTGATGGAGTGTGGGATGGAGGGATGGGGTGATGGAGTGTGGGATGGAAGGGATGGGGGGATGGAGTGTGGGATGGAGGGATGGGGTATGGAGTGTGGATGGAGGGATGGGGTGATGGAGTGTGGGATGGAGGGATGGGTGACGGAGTGTGGAGGATGGAGGGATGGGGTGATGGAGTGTGGATGGAGGGATGGGGTGATGGAGTGTGGGATGGAGGGATGGGGGGAGGGGTTGTGGGATGGAGGGATGGGGTGATGGAGTTGGGATGGAAGGGATGGGGTGATGGAGTGGTGGATGGATGGGATGGGGTGATCGGAGTGTGGGATGAGGGATGAGGTGATGGGGTGATGGAGGATGTGGAGGATGGAGGGATGGGGTGATGGAGTGTGGGGATGGAGGGATGGGGTGATGGAGTGTGGGATGGAGGGATGGGGTGATGGAGTGTGGGGATGGAGGGATGGGTGATGGAGTGTGGGATGGAGGGATGGGGTGATGGAGTGTGGGATGGAGGGATGGGGTGATGGAGTGTGGGATGGAGGGATGGGGTGATGGAGTGTGGGATGGAGGGATGGGGTGATGGAGTGTGGGATGGAGGGATGGGTGATGGAGTGGTGGGATTGAGGGATGGGGGTGATGGAGTGTGGGATGGAGGGATGGGTGATGGAGTGTGGGATGGAAGGATGGGGTGATGGAGTGATGGAGTGTGGGATGGAGATGGGGTGATGGAGTGTGGGATGGAGGGATGGGGTGATGGAGTGTGGGATGGAGGGATGGGGTGATGGAGTGTGGGGATGGAGGGATGGGGTGATGGAGTGTGGATGGAGGGATGGGTGATGGAGTGGGGGATGGAGGGATGGGGTGATGGAGTGGGGGATGGAGGGATGGGGTGATGGAGTGGGGATGGAGGGATGGGGTGATGGAGTGGGGATGGAGGGATGGGGTGATGGAGTGTGGGATGGAGGGATGGGGTGAGGGAGTGTGGGATGGAGGGATGGGGTGATGGAGTGTGGGATGGAGGGATGGGGTGATGGAGTGTGGGATGGAGGGATGGGGTGATGGAGTGTGGGATGGAGGGATGGGGTGATGGAGTGTGGGATGGGGAGGAGGGATGGGTGATGGAGTGTGGGATGGAGGGATGGGGTGATGGAGTGTGGGATGGAGGGATGGGTGATGGAGTGTGGGGATGGAGGGATGGGGTGATGGAGTGGTGGGATGGAGGGATGGGGTGATGGAGTGTGGGATGGAGGGATGGGGTGATGGAGTGTGGGATGGAGGGATGGGTGATGGAGTGTGGGATGGAGGGATGGGGTGATGGAGTGTGGGATGGAGGGATGGGTGATGGAGTGTGGGATGGAGGGATGGGGTGATGGAGTGTGGGATGGAGGGATGGGGTGATGGAGTGTGGGATGGAGGGATGGGTGATGGAGTGGGGGATGGAGGGATGGGGTGATGGAGTGTGGGATGGAGGGATGGGGTGATGGAGTGTGGGATGGAGGGATGGGGTGATGGAGTGTGGGATGGAGGGATGGGGTGATGGAGTGTGGGATGGAGGGATGGGGTGATGGAGTGTGGGATGGAGGGATGGGGTGATGGAGTGTGGGGGATGGAGGGATGGGGTGATGGAGTGTGGGATGGAGGGATGGGTGATGGAGTGGGTGGAGATGGAGGGATGGGTGATGGAGTGTGGGATGGAGGGATGGGGTGGATGAGTGTGGGATGGAGGGATGGGGTGATGGAGTGTGGGGATGGAGGGATGGGGTGATGGAGTGTGGGATGGAGAGATGGGTGATGGAGTGGGGGATGGAGGGATGGGTGATGGAGTGGGGATGGAGGGATGGGGTGATGGAGTGGGGGATGGAGGGATGGGGTGATGGAGTGTGGGATGGAGGGATGGGTGTGATGGAGTGTGGATGGAGGGGTGGGTGATGGAGTGGGGGGGATGGAGGGATGGGGTGATTGGAGTGGGGGAGGAGGATGGGGGATGGATGTGGATGGAGGGATGGGGTGATGGAGTCGGGGATGGAGGGATGGGTGATGGAGTGTGAGATGGAGGATGGGGTGATGGAGTGTGGATGGAGGGATGGGGTGACGGAGTGTGGGATGGAAGGATGGGTGATGGAGTGGGGTGGGAGGGAGGGATGGGTGATGGAGTGTGGGATGGATGGAAGGGGTGATGGAGTGTGGGATGGAAGGATGGGGTGATGGAGTGTGGGATGGAGGAATGGGAGATGGAGTCGGGGATGGAGGGATGGGGTGATGGAGTGGGGGATGGAGGGATGGGTGATGGAGTGTGGGATGGAGGGATGGGGTGACGGAGTGTGGGATGGAAGGATGGGGTGACGGAGTGTGGGATGGAAGGATGGGTGATGGAGTGGGGGATGGAGGGATGGGTGATGGAGTCGGGGATGGAGGGATGGGTGATGGAGTGTGAGATGGAGGGATGGGTGACGGAGTGTGGGATGGAAGGATGGGTGATGGAGTGTAGGGATGGGGGGATGGGGTGACGGAGTGTGGGATGGAGTCGGGGATGGAGGGATGGGTGATGGAGTGGGGGATGGAGGGATGGGTGATGGAGTGTGAGATGGAGGGATGGGTGATGGCACGGTGAGGTGTTCCTCTCTCCCCTTGTCCAGTGTTGTGATTAGAAGCTGAGGTAATGTATGACATGAGATCTGGGAGTGCAATGCTGTTGCTGGGAGGCAGGGGGCTGAGTGCCTGAGCCCACGGGGTCTGCTCTGCTGTAGACCACCCAGCGCCGCCCCCCACCTACCTGTCCAGGGCGCTCCTGCGGATCCGCTCGCCCTCTCTCTGCAGCTGCCGTGCGTGATGCTGGATTTTCTTCTCCCAGAACACCTTCAGCTCCTCTGCGTCGGAGACCACCCGTCCTGGGTGCTTTGAAGTGTAGCTTTTACTCATTTCCTGGAAGAGGGACCATTTACAAGACTCAGCAGTTTTGTGCTGTGTTCTGAGAGCGCAGGGGAGCCAGGAGAGCCAGCAGGTGAACAACAAGGATGCAGACTCGGCCCCACACGTCGGCCTGTGCCTGGCACGCTGGCCCCTCAGTTGTACATTTGATAGAACATGGCCAAGCGAGGCCGACTGACGTTGACGTCCCCCCCGTTCTTTTGCACTGAAATGACCTGAGATGAGGACGTCAGTGGTCTCAGAACACAAACCCGGAACCTGCAAGACCGTCTGTACCGCAGGAACTGCTCTGACAGCTGCTCTGCAGAGAGCGCACCCGTGAACGCCGCATCGGGAGCCCGTGGGCAGGCTGTCCCCGTCACCTGCCCGTTGTGCACCTGCCCAGCCTGGCCCCAGGCCTTGTGGGCACCCACCCCGTGCTCCTGGAGGAGGTGACGGGAGGGAGGCCCTGGTTGTCCGAGGGAAGGGGGTGCCTGCTGTCTGCAGCTGCCTGAGCCCTGCCCTGGGCGTGAGCTCCGACCTCAGGGCTCAGGGGGCAGACAGGGCGCCTTCCCTGCTGCTCTCGGGCCTGCCCTTTACCGCTGCCTGCTGGCCAATGGGAAGCGCGGCGGCCGTTTCCCAGCTGGGGCCGTCACCCTCTGAGGGAGGCACGGGAAGGTTCAGACCGGCTCAGCCCACGCTGGGTGATGTCAGGCCGGTGTGCGGTGGCCGTGTGATGGTCAGCCCTGGACGCAGGCGCGTGGCCAGGTGTGGGCCCCCCTCCTCCCAGGCCCTCCCAGACCTGCTCTTTCCCAGGAGGCGCTGAGCACACACATCTGTGCTGAATGAAGCTGCCGGCGAATTAAAGGAAGGAAACCGGCTGAGATGGTGCTGCCCGTGGGCTTTGCTCTGCGGTGGCAGGCGGGGGGGTGGGGGGGGGGGGGGTCTCTCGGGCCCACTCAAGAGTCTGGGCAGGAACCGCGCCCCCCTCCCGCGCCCCTAGGGAAATGGGTTCATTGAAACCGAGTGGAAACGAAGCCGAGACCAGCTGCTCCTGGCTCAGCCCCTGAGCAGCCCCAGACCTTCTCGGGCGAGAAACCACAGGTCAGGGACCCGGAGAGCCAGGAGGGCACAGCGAGGAGACACCTGAAGGCAGGTGAGCCGTGGACAGGTGAGCACCAGCGGCTTCTCCGCCGGAGCATTCGCATCACAAACCCGAGAGGGAAAAGCTATAAGCAAAGTGGAATTCCCCTCAGACAGAGCTTACGTTTCAGTCGCTTCTCACCCAAACCGGAGACCTCCGACCTCCTGGGCAGCGGGCGCGCTCGTGCCGTCTCCGTCCCGTCCCCGGCGCGTGCCTCGGTGCCTCCGGGCACTTCCTCTTATATGAGTTTGGTGGCTGGTCTTGGCGTCAGCTCGGTGCCGGAAAGGCGACCTGCCTTCAGTCTGGCCACGGCCCCTGGAGACCATCTGGCTCCCGCACGCACTCACTGGTGGGCACGCGTCCTCAGCTCCTCGCCGGGAGCCCGAGGGCAGCTCGGCGACCGTCTCTGCCAGATTGCCAGCAGGGACAAGAGCGCCCCCTCTCTCTCTCTCTCTCTCTCTCTCTCTCTCTCTCTCTCTCTCTCTCTTTTAAAAATAGGTTTTTATTGATGCTTTAGAGAGAGGAAGGGAGAGGTATAGAGAGATAGAAACATCAGTGATGAGGGAAACATCATTGGTCGGCTGCCTCCTTCTGGGGCTCGAGCCCACAGCCCGGACATGTGCCCCATGGGAATCGAACCTCGAACTCTTGGTTCGAACCACTGAGCCACACCGGTTGGGCAAGAACGCCTTCTCTCGATGGCGAATCCCAAGAAGCCTCATAGGTTGAGGTTTTTAAAAAAGCAGCTGGTGTCCGACCCCCTTGATGGTAGTATGTAGCGGAGGGTTGTCTGAAGGGATGGTCTGCAAAGAATACATTGGTTATGCTTCTGGGAAGGCAGCGCAACTGCAAGTAGCTGTTTTCTTATCTTTTTAGCCTATTGTGAAGTGTTATGCTGAGTGTGTGCTACTTGTAGAACCTGAAAACCAGAGCTAAAGAGGGAGTCTGGGAGAACGCCTTTGGCCCCACAGTCGACGTTTTAACTGTGCATGTCCCCCGAGCTTCCCAATTCCCGCGAACGGATCAGGAGCACCACCGGCACCAAAGAAACCTAGCCTGTCACACTCTGAATAGACTTCTCCCTCCAACCCCCCAAATCGAATAAGGCAGCCAAGGTCGAGTGTCTGCAGAGCTGAAAACTGGACCCCTCACCTCCTCTACCCAGGCTCCCAGGGTCGCACCTGGGATCCTGACCGGCTCCTGTCCTCTGTCTGCCACGTGCCCGCCTCCTGCCACCCACACACGGCGCACCCGGCCCTCCTACCTCGGTGTCTTCCTGGTCCCCTCGGACGTGGTCCTGATGTTCAGGGGAGACAGTGCCCCGACAGTCGCTGCAGCCGCATGTGCAGCACAGAATCCTGGGACAGGGCGCACACCTGCCAATCCCGCCATCAGGGTGGGGGCAGTGTGGTCTGGACCAGGGATGGAGGCCACCGGGGGCTCGTCCAGGAGATGGAGACGCACAGAACGTGGGTAGATCCCCACCCATCTGGCAAACAAGACGCAGAAGCCAGCACAGCGCTTCTCCCGCACCTGCAGACGCACAGCCCGCATCCTGAGGAGGGCGTTGGCGCTGGTCTCTGCGGGCTGGCCCACAGCCCAGGGTTGCTGCCTTCCCTGGGGACCGGACCCCCCCGCACCTTGGCATCTGGGAGGGGCAGGCAATCGCGTGCTAATGTATTTGTAAACGAGGTGATACAGACAATGACTGTTTTGTTTAGAAGGGTCCCTAACACATGTTCCCACACCTCGAGGTTGGAGGGTGCTCTGTGGGGAGCAGCCTTGAGGAGCGTGTGGCCCTGTGGGTGGCCGGCAGCTTTCTGAGCAAGGATGGCTGGGATCCACCTCGCCAGCAGGTGCTGGTGGGAGACCAGGAAGCTGCTCTGTGCTCAGGTCCCCTCAAGATCCGCTGGTTCCCCTTTAAACCAGAGAACCGGCACCTCCACAGCCCCTGGGCATTAACCCCCCCCACAGGGGACCCAGGACGCTAACTGGCCTTCAGGTGTGGGGAGGCCCGAGTGGCCCCTGAGGCTGTGGGCCAGGCTCCCCCTCCTCCCCATGCTGTGCTCAGGGGCTCCCCGGCGGGGCCCCGGGTTTCCGTGGCCTGTCTCCTGGGGACCTGTGGTCTGTGTGCAGGAGGCTGCGGCTTCTCAGCTCCATCATGGTACCTCCCCGAGCACATTGCCCTGCACAGTGCGCTGGCCGCCCCTGTCACCGTCAGAGCCTCCCTGGGTGAAGCACTCTGGTTCTTGCTGACACAATTCAGAGAAACCAGCGAAAACGGAGTCTCAAAGAACAGCGCCTTGGACAGTGGGCGGGGGGTGGGGGTGGGCGGCAGGGGTGTCATGAACAGACTGTCTGCCCTGGAGGTGCCGCTACTGCAGGAAGTCTGTGGTTTCCTGCAGGGACCTGGGCCCTGCTCAGGTCTTCCCGACATGCTCGGCGAGGTCCTGCTTGGCCATCCCTGTCCCTTTCTCAGACCCCAGCCCAGAACTTGTCCCACTGGAATGCCGCTCCCGGGGCAGGGGGTCACTACTGTGGGCCTTGGGCTGCAACCCTCTGTGGCAGGAGCCAGCGTGTGACTGGACTTCTGCTATCACCGCCTTCAGTCCCTCCCCGTCCCTCCCGTCTGGTCCCGGTGTGACTGGCTGACTGTCCCATGGGGAGGAGGCCCTCACCTGTTCACAGGAACTGGGGTGGGGCTGTGCCCAGATACGGGGTGTCGGGCTGGCGGGTGCAGGTCTCTCAGCTCCAGGCAGCCATGGGAGCCTGTGGCGTGTGATGACAGTACCCATGTGTCCCCTCAGATCCTGTGGCAGAGCAGGGCCCCCCCAGGGCAGTAGCAGGAGTGAGCAGGAGCATGTGGCCCCCCAGGCGGTGCCCGCCTCCCTTGCACCTTTGTGCGTTTGTTGTTGTTGTTTTATAAATATATTCTTATTGATTTCAGAGCGGAGGGGAGAGGGAGAGAGAGAGAGAAACATCAATGATGAGAGAGAATCATCCATCGGCTGCCTCCTGCACACCCCCCACGGGGATTGAGCCGGCAACCTGGGCATGTGCTCTGACCAGGAATCAAACCGTGACCTCCTGGTTCATAGGTCACTACTCAACCACTGAGCCACACCCGCGGGCCCTTTGTGTGTTTTAGAGAGCTTAGGGGTGACCTCCTGGAGCTTGGCTGGGCTGCAGTGTCCCCTGGGAGCCCCGGGAGCACCCTGTCCCCTCTTCCCTCCACCTGTGGGCCGGCCAGCCCACCATGGAGGGGGCTACGGTGTGGTCCCCACCATCTCCTCTGCCCTCTCTGGGAAAGGATGGCGACCTGCAGCATCTTAGAGTGGAGCTCCCATCCCCCTCGGGGCAACGCTCCGGACCTTTAGCCCCTGAGGACCCTCTGGGAGGGGAGCACAGGGGCTGGGCACAGCCTGCAGAGCCCACGAGGCCACCACAGAGGCCGCGGAGGCGGCTCTCGCCAGCTGCACAGACGGGTGGGACTTCTGCACCCACGTCCCTGCCCAGTGGCCACCACGGGGCCTGGCAGGATGTCTGTTTTCTGCGCAGTCATGCTCTTGTGTGCTGTGTGCTCGGGCGAGCCCTTCCCGGGCCTGCACTGGCCACTGTCACCCACAGGCTCACCCTGAGCCCAGCCCTGGTTTACAGGGGGAGCCTCCGGGTCCTTCCCGGGTGACAGGTGAGGAGCCTGGCTGAGGAGCAGGTCTGGAATGTATAGCACATAGCTATTTGTACATTTGCATCGAGAATTCTGTGACCGACTTCCTAAAACTTTGGACGGCAGTCACCTCCGGGGAGTGGAGGCCAGGAGTCGGGGCGGGTGGGGGGCAGGAGACTTTCATTGTACACGTATTGGCAC